TACATTCAGCACCCTGGTCAGCCTCTGAAGCTCTTGTTGAGCGAGTATGAAAATTATGGCCAAGGATTCCATGCTACTCACCATAAAGGAGAGAAAAATGGGACTTACAATTTAGAGAAAGATGCCAGTCAGCTGAAGGACTCTGCTGTCTACTTCTGTGCCTTCAGAGAGACACAGTGAGATGAAGCAGAAAGGGAGCCAATCAAAAACAGGAGAAAAGAATTAAGAGTAGAGGCAGGGGAAATTTGCATTTGGGTCAATTCAAAATTCATCTCAAGGGTAAAAATAGATCCTGATCTTCTTGTCCATCATACCAGTGGGACCAGAGAAGTAATGTTTTATTGCCAGCTGAACTGAATCTGCTATAATCTTCATTTTTTTTCTTTCTGATGTTCTGCCATTCGATTTTCCCATGACATTATTCCTCTGGTCTTTTAAAATCTTTTAAGAGACTTGCTTCAGCTTGTTGACTGAGCTTTCCAGAGATTTAAGAGTAGGAAGTCATCAGGTATTATTATGATCATTATAGACACAACAATACAAAACCACAGCTTCCAGTTTTTTAGCTGGTGTTGGTCTTCATTCTGACCAGGTTCTTCCCAAGGACCTAGGACCGTGGTGGCGAACCTATGGCATGCGTGCCACAGGTGGCACGCAGAGCCCTCTCTGTAGGCAAGTGCGCCATTGCCCCAATCCTAGGCCTTCAGCTGGGTTTTATAAAACCTTTTCACTTTAGGCCTCCTCCGCCGCCGTGTGCAAAAAAAAAAAAGGTTCAATCAATCAGTCAATTTCAACTTCTCACGGGAAAAAAAGATTTTGCAAAGTTGGAATTGATGGATTGAACTTTTTAGCCCCACCCAGTCTGCCGTTACCACCATAGTCACACCCAGCCAACGGGTCACACCCACCCAATGGGCCACACCCACCCAGCATCCAATGATACATAAGTGGGTTTTGGGTTGCAATTTGGGCACTCAGTGTCTAAAAGGTTCACCATCACTGACCTAGGATGTTGTAATGTATCAGCATAGTCTATGTGAGGATCCAAGTCTTTTGACATTGATAGATGGAAATTTTGTCAATATGCCGATTTTCTAAGGGCCATCAAAGATTATTTGCTAAGGCAAAGGTCCTGCTAAACACCTGGATGACCACAGACAAGTTATGCCAAATTTTTTCCACTTTGATTTTTGTATCTTGAATTATAATTATTTGGTAGATACTAATTGCTTAGATGAAAAGAGCAGGGTCAGATTAAGAATTAACGTGAGCATTTCCCCTTATTTTTTCAGCAGCAGAACTTTGAGGCATTCTTCTCTTGGTTTTGTCTACCTCTATGTCTACCTGCCTTAAAAGGTAGTCCAGACAACAAATACACCCAGAGGAACTAATTCTACATTGTTGTAAGGTTACATTAACAGAATATTGCAACACTAAATGAACATTCCTTCCTCCATATCTTCACAGGCCAAGAAAGTAGGGAGGATCCCTTCCCAAAGATCTTCAACAATGGGATCCTTCTTTCAACCCATTTGCCTTCTTATACCTGCTTTAAAACACAGGGTGGCAATCTTGAGACAAAGAGTTTTACCAGAGACTTACCTGACAATGACTTTTAGCAGACAAATGATTCTTACCTTAGTCCAGTGGTTCCCTTTGGATTATGATCCCTGAATGTAGTAGGACCTGCATCCCAGTGAACCTTGCAATGGAACTGAAATGTGAAAAATCATATTAACCCTTTTGGATATCTGGGATAGAATCAAGATCGTGAAGTATTAATACCACTTTACAATGCCTTGGTAAGGCCACACTTGGAATACTGCATCCAGTTTTGGTCTCCATGATGTAAAAAAGATATTAAGACTCTAGAAAGAGTGCAGAGAAGAGCAACAAATATGATTAGGGGACTGGAGGCTAAAACATGTAAGGAACAGTTGCTGGAATTGGGTATGTCTAGTTTAAAGAAGAGAAGGATGAGGGAGGACATGATAGCACTTGTTCCAGTATCTCAGGGGCTGCCCCAAAGAAGAGGGAGTCAAGCTATTCTCCAAGGCNATCATCATCATCATCATCATCATCATCATCATCATCATCATCATCATCATCATCATCATCATCATCTTGGGCTAGATATCCAAGAAGAATGACCATCTGGGCTGGAGTTACCTAACCAACTGGATGCACTTGTCTCCATAATCATGACAGAGAATGTTTTCATATAATTTAGGTGATAGCATTGTGATAGCATTTTCCATTCAGAAGAACTTTGAACATTAGGATTCACCTTTCCATTTTAATCATTTCAAACTCCAAAATGATTCTTCCCAACTCACATTTCATATTATACACATGACTCTCTCTTTCTCTCTCTCTTGGTCTCCTATTTATCCTCTCAATTCTGTCTTCTTTCTCCTGATCAATGTCTGTTTCTTTCAGAAATAACCTTCAATACTTGGATCCTTCCTTTAAAGAAGCTGCTTTCCTACACCTACTTTGAAACACATGGTGGCAATCATGACACAATCTGAGTCTTACCAGATCACTCACATAACACCTTCTGTAGCACATATGCTCTTTGAACCATATCCTGTGGTTTCTCTTCCTTTTACCACCAAATGTATATGTTAGAAGACAATTTTTTTTTTCTGAAGGGAAATAGTTGTACAGACTCTAAGTCTTTTTTAGACCAACGCAGGGAAGGTCTGAAGGTGACTGCACCAGCTTTGAAATCCTCCAGAGAATTTTTTTGTAGGTAGTACCCCAATTCTTCATCAGGAAAAATGTGGATGTGGCCTATGTTCATCATCATCATCATCTCACTTACAAGTAAGAATTTATTTGTTCACAATGTTAGAGTATAGGTTTTGTCTGGGCATATCTTGAGTTGTTTAGGATTCTTGAAATCATAGAATAGAATCCCCTGGAGAACGGAACAGAACAGAGCAGAATAGAACAGAACAGTGGAATGGAATGAAGTGGAGTGGAGTGGAGTGGAGTGGAGTGGAGTGGAGTAGAGTAGAGTAGAGTAGAGTAGAGTAGAGTAGAGTAGAATAGAATAGAATAGAATAGAATAGAATAGAATAGAATAGAATAGAATAGAATAGAATAGAATTCTTTATTGGCCTTGTGTGATTAAACACACAAGGAATTTGTCTCCGGTGCAGAAGCTCTCAGTGTACATACAAGCAACAAGTGATAGATCATGATCATAATCATAAAATACAATCATCATAAATCATAAGATACAACACTCAGTGATAGCCATAGGATACCAAATAAAAGCATAAATCATAATAGGATACGAAATAAAAGCAATCAACACAAATCATAAGATACAAACAACAAAGTTATAGTCCTAAGATGCTAAAGGAATAGGTAATAGGAAAGATGAGAAGGATAATAGTAATACAACCCTCTTACATGGTTTGATATCCTAGGGTATAGGTCAGTGTTGTGGGAATTAATTTTTTAGCAGAGTGATGCATGGGGTGGGGAAACACTGACCTTATTTCTAGTTGTTTTGCCATGCAATGCTCTATAGTGTCGTCTTAAGGGAAGAAGTTGAAACAGTTTATGTCCAGGATGTAAGGAATCTGTAGATATTTTCACAACCCTCTTTCTGGCTCATGTAGTGTACAGATCCTCAATGGTAGGCAGGCTGATTGCAATTGTTTTTTCTGCAGTCCTAACTATCCGTCGAAGTCTGTCTATCCTGTTTGGTTGCTTTGCCAAAAAAGACAGTTATAGAGGTACAAATGTCAGACTCAATAATTTATCTATAGAACTGTATCAGCAGTTCCTTGGGCAGTCTGAGCTTTCTGAGTTGGTGCAGGAAGAATATTCTTTGTTGTGATTTTTTGATGACATTTTTGATGTTAGGTGTCCATTTCAAGTCCTGATATATTATAGAAGTCAGAAACGTGAAGGTCTTTACTGTTGATACTGTGTTTGTTGCCTAGTATTGTAAGAAGTGGCAGAATAGGAAGGCTTCTCCTAAAATCTACTCTCATCTCTACAGTTTTAAGTGTGTTCAGTTCAAGATTATTCAGGCTGCACCACAGGGCCAGCTGTTCAACTTCCCAGCTATGTGCAGATTCAACTTCATCTTGAATGAGACCAATGACTGTTGTATTATTTGCAAAACTTCAGTACTTTAGCAGAGGGATCTTTTGAGATCCAGTCATTGGTATATGCAGGGGTGTCACACTCGCAATGTCACATGATGTGTTGCGACGAATCGCGACTTTTTTTTCCATTGCCGGCAATGGGGTGGGTGTGGTTTTGCCATGATGCATCTGGCACCCCTGGTATAGACAGACAAGAGTAATGGAGAGAGCACACAGCCCTGGGGTTGTACCTGTGTTAATTGTACAAGTATCTGATGGAATTTTTGCCTAGCTTCACCTGCTGCTTCCTATCTGTTAGAAAGCTTATGATCCACATCTCAGTTCCATTGCAGCTAGCTGAGTCAATTTAGTGAGAAGAATATTTGGAATGATGGCATTGAATATATGAGTAATTGGCAGTAAAATATATGAGTAATGAGTAAATTGGGGTGTGTGTGTGGCTTAATGCTCTCTGAGCTGGCTTGTTTTCTTGCAGATGTTTCATTACCCAAACTAGGTTAACATCATCAGTGCAGTAATGAAACGTCTACAAGAAAACAAGGAAGCTCAGAGGATCCCTCATGTCAACTCTGAGCTAGAAATATTCTTCTTTATTAATGAGTAAACTATCTGCAAGGAATCTAAAGAAGTATTCAGCTGAAAAGAAGGTTGTGTATGTGAATTCAGCATGTTTGGTGTTGGGCATGATGCAAAAAATATAAAACTTGGAACGAATTTGTCCAAGATAACCCTCATAATTAGTGTAAATGTTTGCAGACTTCAGGAAAGTAGATCCAAGCAGCACCAAGGTTGTTTTGCAAAAGAGGGAAAAGGACCTACTTGTTCACCTCTCCAACTAACCTCAAGCCTTCTCCATTACCTTCTCTCCAGGAAGAAGCACAGGACAATCAGTTGATCAAACATCTGGCATTGTGACCATTACTGAAGGACAATCTCTTTCTCTCAGTTGTTCCTATGAAGCACAGAATAGTGTCATGCATTACCCATTCTGGTACATTCAGCATCCTGGTCAGCCTCTGAAGATCTTGTTGACCAAGTTTTACAAAAATGTCCAAGGATTCCAGGCTGCTCACTATGAAAATGATACAAAAGGAACTTTCAACATGCAGAAACAAGGCATCCAGTTGGAGGACTCTGCTGTCTATTTCTGTGCCTTCACAGAGACACAGTAAGAGGAAGCAGAAGGGGAGCCAATCAAAAACAGAAGAAAAACAATTAAGAGCAGAGATAGGAGAATTTTGCAATAGTCAAGGAGTTGGGCCACTTGTACGCACAAAATTGTTCTCAAGCTAAACATTTCTCTTGACCACTTTGTCCACCATACAATTGGGGCCAGAGAGGAAAATGTTTTATTGGCAATACAGCTGAAGCTGCTATAATTCTCATTGTTTTTTTTTCTTTCTGAGATGCTTCAGAAAGCATCTAAGAAAGTGCAGAAGGACTTGGGGGGACATGATAGCAGTATTCCAGTATTTGAGGGGTTGCCACAAAGAAGAGGGGGTCAACTTATTTTCCAAAGCACCAAGACAAGAAACAATGGGGGGAAACTGATCAAGGAGAGAAGCAATCTGGAATTAAGGAGAAACTTCTTAACAGTGAGAACAATTAACCAGTGGAACAGCTTGCCTTCAGACATTGTGGGTGCTTCATCACTAGAGGTTTTAAGAGGAGACTGGATAGCCACTTGTCTGAAATGGTAGAGTCTCCTGATTGAGCAGGGGACTGGACTAAAAGACCTCCAAGGTCCCTTCCAGCTCTGTTCTATTCTAACATGCAATTCTGTTTCCCCATGACATTATTTCTCCAGCCCCTTCTAAGAGACTTGGTTTAGCTTGTTGCTTGAGCTTCCCAGAAATTTGAGAGTCAGGAGACATACAATTTTAAGAAAACATTACTATTATTATTAAATACACAACAAAACTAATCCCCAGCTTCCACTGTTTTATCTGGTGTTGGCCTTCATTCTCATCAGATTATTCCCAAGGAGATGTCTTAATGTATTGGTGTAGTCTATGTGTGGGTCCACATAGTGTGGGTTTGTTTTTTTGCCATTGACAACTTAGTCCAGACAAGAAGAACAGCCAGATGAAGTAATTCTACTTTATTGTAAGGTGACATTAAAAGAATCTTGCAACTTTGAATGAAAATTTCCCTTGCCAAGGACCTTTAATTTTGGGATCCTTCCTTTGACCGACTGCCTTCTTACACCTAATTTAAAACACAGGGTAGTAATTTTGAGAGAAATTTGTTGACAAGTCTTAGCAGACATATGAGTCTTATCATTTCTGAAGAGCTGTGGTGGCCCAGTGGTTAGAATGCAGTACTGCAGGCTAGTTCTGTTGACTGCTGGCTGTCAGCAGTTTGGCAGTTCAGTTCTCACTTGTTCAAGGTTGACTCAGCCTTCCATCCTTCCGAGGTCGGTAAAATGAAGACCTAGATTGTTGGGGGGTCATAGGCTGACTCTGTAAACCACTCAGAGTGGGCTGTAAAGCACTATGGAGAGGTATATAAGTCTAAGTGCTATTGCTATTGCTATTCCAATGGTTCCCTTGGGATTAAGGTCCCTTAAAGTAGTTGGATTTGCATCCAGATCAACCTTACAATGGAATTGAGATGTAGAATGTCATATTAACCCTTCAGGATATATTGGTCTAGAACATTTTCAGCACCTGATACCAAGTAGAATGACTATCTGAGCTGGGATAAGAAGAAATGGGACCTAACCATCTAGATCCACTTACCTCCAAGGTCAGGCGGATTATCCTTTCATATCATTTAGTTGATAGCTTTGGGAATTGCCCATCTGGAAGCACTTTAAGCATTGGACTGTATCTCTCCTCTGAAACCCTTTTAGACTCTAAAATGACTCTTTCCAACTCAGATTTTATATAATAAAGCTGTCTGTCTGTCTCTGTCTGTCTCTCTGATCTATTTTTCTTCC